TTTTTTACTATTTTTAATAATAAAACTATTTCAAATACCAGCAGTATTGACTAACAAAATCACAATCTTTAAATTACGATTTTAAGTTTCTTTATTGCTATTAAAAGAAGAAAAACATAAAAAGTTATTATTTTATAAATTTCAACGCATAGTTGACAATAAACATTCCTTTTCTTACCTCAAGAAACCAATGGGTTTTTGCTACAAGTAATGGGTTTTCGTTATTATTTTTGTTTTTACGGGGGTGTTCACTATGAGATCGTCACTTATTAACCAATGGTAATCAGCTGATGGTGTTGTATAATAACCCAATTTGGGTTTAAAATTTGCAAATCGGCGGATATGTACCTACTTCAGCTTATCAGGATGGTAACTGCAAACTATCAAATCATCACATGCAATATATCTAGACCCACCTTTCTTATTTTTATATATGCATGCAGCTTTATTGCCGAAAAAAAGATTTGCCAAGATATTAGTCTTACCTGATCCACTCTTTCCTGGCATACTGAAAGGTCATGATGGACTTGCGAGGTGAGATTGAATTTGGGATGATTCATGCTTTGTATTTCATCTATATCCATAAGGTAAAGCTTCATAGGAGGTAGACCTATCCTTTGGTTCTTCTATATGTCGGATTGGGAATCCATAACTCTGATTTCTATTTAAGAGTATTTTATAATTCAGAAGATTTTTTTCTTGATTGTAAGATGAATTAAAAGAATATAGACGAGAGAACATGAATTATAGGATGTATATGATTAGTAATACTATTACGAAAATAATTACATGCTGAAAAAATAAGGAATAAGGTGATACTGAGGTTGTTTCGGGCTAGTGATTTTGTTATCTTTCTCCAGTCCTTTATTACCTCCAATCACATCATTTTGCTTAGATTCACAGATATTTTCGAAATCTGCTTTAATAAAAGAGTATTAGTTCTTGAATGAAGAAATCTTTTTCTATCACTACCTTTTTCACTGAAAGTAAATTATCTCTCATACGCATTAGTTCATCCTTTTTTTAACCAAATCTAGGTTAATATTTTCATTAGTTAGTTTTATACTTACCTCTTTGGATTTACGTTTAAGATAATCCATCTCTGATAATCTCTTTTATGCTAAATAATCAGCTGTCAGGTTAAGAAGATTCCTTATAACTGGCACATCGGGTATCAGCAAATCATGTTTCCTGATTTATATCTTAATCCAACTTTTATGCAAAGATGTCACTGTAATTTTCCAGCCTATCAATGATGAAAATTTCTGCATTGAGGAAAATTTAACAATATCCTCTGGAAAATATGTTGTTTTTATGTATCAGCTTAATTTACCTACGACGTGGTACCTGGTGAATGGTATCATATCTTCAAGATTAGTTCAGGCAAAGACAGTAGTCGATTTATCACCAAATGGAATTGCAACAAAAGACTTTCAAGAATTTGAGAAGCATCATCCAATTGAATATTATATGGGTCTGTGGACATTAGAAGAATTATTATCTTATCAGGAGCATGTTTTTCCACTAGTGCTGAAAGAAATAGTGACTAATCTTTCCATAAAGCAGGTGGAGTGCCTAGATATGTTCTCCAGAATGTTGAGATATTAATACGAAAAGTTATTGGAAATAATATTAGACAAGAAGGAAGACCAGATGCTAAAGAAATGGAAATAGTTGAGAAAGAAGCTTGCAAACTTGATAAAATTATAAAGTGTTTTACCAAAAATGAAGAAACCCATGTTAAAATAAGCAATCGCATTGTCCACAGATTTCCAGACGAAACACATTGTGATTACTATTATGAATGGGCTTCTGCAGTGTGTAAAATCTATGTGCACAATGTGCATATGTGCAAATTAATTTTTTGTGTGCACATGCTACACAACATAAAATGTGCACAAATTATTACTAAAACCAGATAAATTATGTATAAAAAAGGTAATTTTACATAAGAAAATATAATGATTTTCTTATTTTAGTAATAATTAATCAATTTGTACACATAAATTTTAACTAAGATTTATACACTGGGCTTCTGTTTATAGAATTCAAAGAAAGATTAGAGGAGAAGGCATGGGTTGATTGTTTGCACAAAATACGAATTATGCGAAATTCTTATGAGGCTAATGCAAGGGGATTTTGAATGTTATGTAATCCACCTATTTCGTACTGGAAACCAGAAATTTGAAGTAAGGAAGCTGAGAGGTAAAGAAAAAGATCAATTTTCCATACATCATAAGCCAAATGCTGGGTTTGTAAGAAATTTATCCGATCTCTTAAAGTATTCTGGAGAAAACATAATTATCGTACCAGATAAACAAAATTTTGGTGCAGTAGACTTATTTGTAACGCCTAATTGTATTTTTCAAGTCACAGTGTCAAAAAATCATCCTATAAAACAGTCTATATTAGTGATCAAAATGCTAAGATTCAACTTTACTTCATGGTTCCAGATTATATATATGACAAATTTGAACACCAAAGTTATACAACTTAAGATAAAGATTCTAATGAAGATCGACAAGTCTTGAGAATAGATTCCGTCATTAAAAATGTCGAGCAATGGACTCTAAATGTACAAATCAATAAGATATTAGAAGTATAATGTTCTATACAAAAATAAATAGTTAGAAAAAATTTTTTCTTGTATTATACAGCTTTTATGACGTTGAAGAAAATTTAATAAATAATCTTATTTTGTTTGAAGAATAAAAGTTTTTACTCTGTGAAATGTATAAGTTTTGACTTTATTGAGTGAATGCTTTATGGAATAATTTAACTCAATTTTTATGTTTACTGCGCCACATTACTTTGCCCATCTAGAATTTTCATTTTTAAGTAGATAAAATGTATTAGTTTGCCCACATAGTGAACTTTATCCTTTTTTAGTTACATCTGCAAAATTTAATACTGGCTGAAGGCACTGTACATAAATTAATCTACATACATGTGAATAAATTCCTTTGATCTGCGGGAGATAATAGCTTAAACATCACGAAAAATATAGGTTTCAGGAGATAAATTTAACTGGATGCTGATCCTGCTTCTGTGCAGTCCAGACTTTACCATCAATATTTTTGCATGTATATTTTTTCGCATTCTGTTAGACTTATCTGGCTAAAGAATAAAACGCCTGGCTAAATATGATACATATTTATCGAACCCATTGCAGTCACTTTTTAAGTTTTTTCATGTTTAACATTATCTAGACATGTATGCTTATCATTTCCACAAATTATACGATTATCGATTATTTTTTAATTTGTGTACACCTATCAAATAAATGGTGCATCCAGCCATTTCTCACATATTACTTTACAAAAATATAATAAAAAGCTTTATTTTGATTTTTAAGCATGTCATGAGTTTTACAAGTAATATTAATATTTATTAAACATGACTATATTACAATAAATATTACATTTGTTTTCATATTCTACTCTGCCCAATTCTCCAAGAAATACAAACTAACTAGCATTTTTTAAAATGTAGAAAGAAAAAGCTTTTATCTTGGGTTAGCTATATCATCTGAGGAAATTTACAGTTATGTAGGTTTGCATTAATGAAAAAAATCTTATTCCTGTTACTCGTTTGACAATTCACCATAATTGATGGTAATATTGATTACATTCGTATTTTGCGAAAAAGAAGGGATAGTTGAGGTTACAGGTCTGGAGTTGTTAAGTGTTTCAACGGTTGATAGCTGGGTTCACTCCTCCCAAAATATATACCTGGTTTTAACCAAAACTTGCTAGAGAACTCTTCATAAATCTCTTTACCAACTAAACTTCTTTTAGTTCCAGTAACCTTCTTTATATTTTTGAGCTGTCTAATAAAATAATAATAAGTATAACAATTAGATAGATTCCTCCATAGCACCCACTTACTTTAAAAGCCCATTTGTTTATCTTATTAGCAATATCAGCCCAGAAAAGCCATTTCTTCTTATTTGGAATAGCATGGAATTCGGAACTTCTCTATTTTTATTCATCAATAAGAAATCAAACCTGAGCGTCACTCCACTCAATAGTTGCTATATTTTTTTCATTGTGGAAAAATTCTCTAAGGACACCTGTTTTATGAAGTGATGTGTTAGACTGATTAATGTAATGATAAATTGAATAATAACGGTGGCTCATAGGAAGACTTTCATATGATTGGCCGGTCAGGTTACACAAATTTTGAAATTGATATTGTAAATATTTATATATGTCACGTGATATTATTATGTAAACTTAATTTATTTTTTAACTTTGAAAAATTAAACTGCTTAAAGATATTTAATTCTCAGTTGATATGATTTAATTTATTAATGTTATACAATAATTTTATAGTAGTTTTAATTATTAAAATAAAAATTAATTATTA